AGGGGGCCCCACAGGCAGCAGCAGCAGCAGCTGCTGCTGCTGCAGCTCACCGGCAGCTGCAGCAGCACTTGTACCTGCAGCAGCTGCACCAGTACCAGCAGCAGCTGCGGCTGACGGGCCAGCTGCTGAGGGCCCCGGAGGACGCAGCAGCAGCAGCAGCAGCAGCAGCAACGGGAGTTGTGGGGTTTCCCCCGCTGCTGCCGTTCTGGCTGCCGCACCCCGCCCTAGTGCAGATGCACGGGGAGCTGCCGCTGCAGCAGCAGCAGCAGCAGCAGCAGGCGTACCTTCGGGCGCAGCCGCACGAGCACGAGCAGCAGCAGCAGCAGCAGCAGCAGCAGCAGCGCATTGGCCGCAGGGGCACAAATGCCTTTGGGCAGCAGCACTTGCACAGAAGGGGCCTGGGCCCCCGCAGCAGCTGCGGGGCTCCCGCGGAAGCAGCCGACGCTGCTGCTGCAGCAAGCCTTGCTGCTGCTGCTCACACGTGCGCTGCTGCTGCTGCTGCTGCTGCTGCTGCTGGAGATGCTGCTGAGAGAGAAGCGCCCAAAACGCCAGCAGCAAAAAGTGACCTCCGCATAGAGGCCGAAGTTTTTACACCCAGCAGCAGCAGAATGACCGCCCTCGCAGCTAGCTGGGCCGACAGCCCGCAGCAGCAGCAGCAGCAGCAGCAGCAGCAGCAGCAGCAGCAGCAGCAGCGGCTGCGGCAGGTTCAAGGCGCTCCGGATATAGCAGACCCTGGTGACGGCGAAGACCCAAATGCCTCATCCAAGAGTCCTGCAAGCAGCAGCTGCAAGAACAAGAGCGAGGAACAGCAGCAGCAGCAGCAGCAGCAGCAGCAGCAGCAGCAGCAGCAGCAGCAGCAGCAGCAGCAGCAGCAGAGCAGCAGCAGCAGCAGCAGCAGCAGCAGCAGCAGCAGCAGCAGCAGCAGCAGCAGCAGCAGCAGCAGAGCAGCAGCAGCAGCAGCAGCAGCAGCAGCAGCAGCAGCAGCAGCAGCAGCAGCAGCAGCAGCAGCAGCAGGAAAAGCGCACCGACGAAGGTGTTGCAGTAGCAGACAGTAAAAGTACGGAGCCTCCGTGGAACCCTCAGCAGCAGCAGCAGCAGCAACAGCGGCAGGAGCAGCTGCAGCCTCAGCAACAGGATCAGCAGCAGCAGCAGCAGCAGCAGCAGCAGCAAGAAGACACACAGCCTGCTGCTGCTGCTGCTGCGGATGGCCTCTCTAGCGAACAAGAAAAGGACGAGCCCGCTTCACTGCTGAAGGCGCAGCGGCGCCTGGAAGTGCAGCAGGAGCACGAGCAGCAGCAGCAGCGGCAGCAAGAAGAGCAACAGCCACAGCAAGAGCAGCAGCAGCAGCAGCAGCAGCAGCAGCAGCAGCAGCAGCAGCAGCACCCGCATCAGCATCCCTGGTACTCGGCTTACGCGCAGCAGCAGCACATGTCTCACCTCGCTGGGGCGCCCCACCTGTACCCGCACCTGCTGCACTCGCACTTCCTGATGCAGCTGCAGCAGCAAGCAGCAGCAGCAGCAGCAGCAGCAGCAGCAGACCCGCAGGCCCCCGTCGCCTATGCCTCTGGCGTGCTGCAGTCCTCGGGCGGCGGCTGGCTGCCAATGATGCAGCCGGGGGGCCTGATAATGTATCCGCAGCACTTGCTGCAGCTGCACAAGCAAGCAGCAGCAGCAGCAGCAGCAGCAGCAGCAGCAGCAGCCGAGCAGCAGCAGGGGGCGCAGCAGCCGAGCCCCAGCGACGACCGGCGCGCCTCCTCGCAGCAGCAGCAGCAGCAGCACGAGCACCCCGGCTACAGCAGCAGCAGCAGCAGCAGCCAGCAGCAAAACAGGTGGTACCGCGGGGGGGGCCCCCGGCTGCAGCAGCAGTGGGGCCCCCAGCCCCTAATGGTCTTTATTCCGGGGCTGGGTTTAACTCCCCACTGGCCTGGGGCTTTTGCCCATTCTGCGCGGGAGCAGCAGGAGCAGCTGCAGCAGCTGCAGCACTTGCAGCAGCAGCAGCAGCAGCAGCAGCAGCCAGACGCCGAGCCCTGGGGCGTGCTGCACCCTGCAGCAGCTGCTGCGCTCGGCAGGGGCCTCAGGGGCTCCACCTCCGCCGCCGCAGACTCCCCTGCAGCAGCAGCAGCAGCAGCAGCAGCAGCAGCAGCAGCAGCAGCAGCAGCAGACTACAGCAGCTTCGGCTCCTCGCGCTGGGACCGCGGCAGGAACCAGCGGCGGGGCGAAAGAGAAGCAGAGCTGCGCAGCCCCAGCGCGCTGCAGCAGCAGCAGCAGCAGCAGCAGCAGCAGCAGCAGCTGTACGAGCAGCAGCTGGCCGCTTCAGGGGCGCTCGGCGCGTGGTCCCCGCACTTCCTGTATGCTGCGTACCCGCAGCAGCAGCAGCAGCAGCAGCAGCAGCAGCAGCAGCAGAACCGGCGTGCTGCTGGCAGCTTGGGGGCCCATGGGGAGCCCCGGGGGCCCCTGCGGCTGCGGGGGCAGCAAGAGAGAGCGCAGAGCAGCAGCAGCGGGTTTGCTGCTGCTGCTGCTCACCTCTTCCCGCCCCACTACCACCACTACCAGCAGCTGCAGCAGCTGCAGCAGCAGCAGCAGCAGCAGCAGCAGCAGCACGCCGGCTACTCCACTGTGCCCTACCTGGACCCCGTGGGGGCCCCCCTGGACTCCTGCGGGGGCCCCCCAGACCCCTGCGAAGCTGCTTCGAAGCAGCAGCGGGGCCCTGAGTGCAGGCTAGACCAGCAGCAGCAGCAGCAGCAGCAGCAGCAGCAGCAGCAGCAGCAGTGGCTGCTGGCGCCGCCGCGTCCGCCGTCGAAGCGCAGCAGCAGGGACAGCAGCGAGGGCCCCTCTTCAGTTGAGGGGGGCCCCCAGGGGCCCCCTTCAATAAGTCCTGCAAGTGCTGCTGCTGCTCACTGCAGCGCGGGGGGCCCCCCGGGCTCGGACGACGAGCAGCAGCAGCAGCAGCAGCAGCAGCAGCTGCTGCTGCTGCCTCCTCGGCGAGAGGCGGGGGCCTCCTCCCCCATCCTGGGGGCGCCCCGGGCGTTCTCGGGGTCCCCCAGCTGTGCTGCAGCAGCAGCAGCAGCAGCAGCAGCAGCAGCAGCAGATAAGGAGGGGGGCGGGGGGCTGCTGCGCAGCGCCTGCTTCGAGCAGCTAGCTAGCCATGGGCAGTTCCCGCTGTCTCCGGAAGGTGGGGCCACCAATGCAGCGGAGCTTTCTCCTGTTGCTGCTGCTGCTGCTGCTGCTGCTGCAGCAGAAGCAGCAGCAGACGCCGATGCCGCCGCTGCAGCAGCAGCAGCAGCCCCCGCGCCCACGGCGCACGCACGGCACACCTTTCCTCCGGGCGGGCCATCTCCATTGTCCCCTACTGCTGCTGCTGCTGCTGCAGCAGCAGCAGCTGCTGCTGCTGCTGCAGAGAGCCCGCGGCTGCTGAACTGTTCCTCCGGGTGCGGAGGAGGAGCGTCCGCAGCAGCAGCAGCAGCAGCAGCAGCAGCAGCAGCAGCAGGGGACGACAGCTGCAGCCCGAGGTCGGCGCCGTCCACCCAAAGCAGCAAATTAGGGACTGAGGAAGCAGCAGCAGCAGCAGCAGCAGCAGCAGAAGAGGGCCGCCGCTGCGGTTTATATCGAGGGCTTTTTAATCTCAAGTCTTTTCTAGTGGCCACCACTCCCGCGGTGCGGGTTTCGAGGCACTCCAAGGCAGCAGCAGCAGCAGCAGCAGCCAGCAGCAGCAGCAGCAGCAGCAGCAGCAGCAGCAGCAGCGTGGGGGCCGGCGAGGGGAGCCTCGCGGCTGAGGGAAGCGCGCGCAGCGAGGCCCAGGGCGCCCCGCAGCAGCAGCAGCAGCAGCAGCAGCAGCAGCAGCAGCAGGACGCGCAGCAGCAGCGCGACGCCCCCGCCGCGCCCCCGCCGCCGCCGCCGCAGCAGCAGCAGCAGCAGCAGCAG